ATCTATTTTTTTTTATAATGCTGCAACATTAATAGAACAATCACCCTACTTGAAAGGTAAAATTGTCAAAAATTTTGTCGACAAATATTTTAACTAAAGGCACCCCTTCTGAAATCGTCTCACTTTTCTAAGAGGGGCTTTTATTGAAAACTGAACTTGAGAATTAAATAAAAAAATGAATTGAACTTCGTAACGGAGAAGTTCGAGTCAAGTAAAAAAAATAAAATAAAACAAGGGAATATTAGAAAAGTAATACAGCGCCGATAGACAATAATCGTTTCATTTATAACAATTTGTAAAAAACAAATCGTCAAGTTTTTAGTGGCTTCAAAGCGCTGCTGTGACTTCGTTTTATACTTAATCTTGGTGTTGATAGGGAGAGGTTTTCCTACAAATACGCTATAGTAGCTAAAACTACGCAGCCGAATTTTAGTTCTCAAAAAAACCTTGGCAAAATAAAATATTTAAAGTGCAGTTTATCTTAAAGTTGCAAATTTGTGATTTAGATTAGTTAAGGTTATTTTGAAGCTGTTTGTGCTAAAAAATTAAAAAAATGCTCGTAAGGAACTGATTTAAAAAACAAGTTTTTGAAGTATCAAAATAAGAGGTAATAGGAAATGGAGCTGAGGTGAACAAACAAACTGAATGCTGAGCTTCTGAGAAAAATAGTACAAAGTTAAAATTAACCTTATTCAGTTTTTTACGCAACACTAGAAAAGTGTTTGGATCTGTTCTGAACTTATGCTAGCAAATAACGAAAAACAACGAAATACACAAAATGGAGCTAGAATGACAGTTTAGTAGCTGAAAAATTCACTCCACGGAACATTTTCTGGCTCAAAAAATTGCCATATAGGCTGTTGACATTTTGCATTACGCAAATTTTAAAGGAAAAATCAAACCAATGCTATTGATCTGCTGCAAACTTAACTGTCCAAAGTTTTTTTTAATGCGGTTTTTCTAAAGTGCTCTCGGTCATAAATTGTTGAAAGTTTAGTGAAAAAAACTAAATTTTGCGTTTGAAAAACTACATTTTTTCTTTGTAGAGATTTTTTTAGGAAGCGCCTAATTATGTAAAAAGCTGCACTGATTGTTTTGATCTTGTAATAGAAGTAAAAAAGAAGTAGGTGAAAAACGACTAGCAGATATTAGCCGTGTTTACAATGTATTTACAAAAGCTGCTTGTGCAGTTATGTATTAAAAACAGCTGATGCGTTTTTTTAAATCTCAGTGTAACATGATTATTGCAAGTTTCTCAAAGAAAATGTTTTGTTATTGCACTTCGTAAATTCGGTCTTAGATGCGAACATCGAGAACTGGGAATACGTTAGACCAACTGTTAAGCAAGAAAATCTTTTGTTTTGTAGAGTAAACTTGCTGCTGTTGCTTCTATATTTATATTCTTTAAGATATTTTTTTATTAGCTGGTTTCTAATGCTACTGTTCTTTTTTGTACGTACTTTTTATTTTTTCTTAAAGTTAATAAATTTACTTTGTTTTTTAGATGGCTGGAAAAATCACCTTAATTCTTCTAATTTTGGTTTTTCTTTACGCCTACAGTGTAGAAAGTAAGAGTAGCAAAAAAAAAACCATTAAGAAAGTAACGAAAGCCGAGGAATCAAACAACAACGACGATAAGAGAAGTGAATGGAAAGGTTAGTTTTGAATTAAATCAGTAAAAAAATTTATTTTTTTTATTGTCACACTTTTGGTCTGCATCTTTACGCCACTCAAAATCAGTTACTATATTGAACAAACCTGGTGGAAGTCATTGTTTATAAGATCAAAGCGTCAAATTATTCCTTATAACAAACCGTCATTTTTTAAAAGCACATACCACAGAAGTTTTTACATATTTGTCTGTCATAACCGTTTTTATTGAACTAATCACAAAAGGAATTATCAAACTGATAAATTACAGAACAAACAAATCTCTTAATTAAACAAAATTTCCGTTCTGCTAGACGTATTGCCGCACCCCAGCATTAAATTCTGAAGTACAATTTCATATAGACAGTTTGATAATAGAAGAAACGATAAAATTTGTGAAAAATTCTCCCATTAGCTTTCCCGTCAGTTTTCAGAAACTTTATTGCTAGAAACAACTGAAGAAGTTTGCCGCGCAAAGACTTTAAAATGAGGAAAATTGGTCGGTGAGCGAGTCTTTGAATGTCATTCAGAAAAGGTTCAGAAGGCAACAGTAACGAAAGATAAGCAACAACACTTTGCGAACATCTTAGTTTCATCTTTTTTTGTCCAAGCAGTACCAAATAGGAAAAAAGAAAAAAAAAGGTTTTTTAAATGAATATTGACGGTACAACTAGTGAATTTAGAAAAAGAAAATGAACCGCTAGCCTCAAAAATAGCAAAGATTAGGTTGAGAAAATTTGGAAGTTTTTATAAATAAAAAATTTTTAACCTTAAATACGTTGTCAAACAGCTATAGCGAATTTGTTCATTAAAATACAGAATAATTGTATACATTAACACCGACAAGAAAAAAGTCTAAAGCTGGGAAATTTTTATGAGGATGACCAATTAATCACCGTACCAAAAAGTTATACGTTTTTTGTTTCTTAACTTTTCAAATTTCATTAATTGTTTCAAAATTTGATCATCTTTTTCTATCAGCAAGTCACTCCACCGAACAGCCGCTCAGCGTAGTTACAGGATTCTTTATTTTTTACGAAGACCTAACATCAGATGTTGTATTTTGTTTATAAGCTTCTGCAAATATTGATTTTGGGAATAGCTTGGTGTAAACTGCAACCATCGCTCTTCGGTGATCATTGTTTCCTGTATGTTGAGATCCTCTTCTTATGCTTTCAAAATGTCCTGTAAAGCTTTGATACCTGGTCAACACAAAAATATATGTGTAGACTCGTATCTTTTACTGACGGTCAGTTTTTATTTGCTGACAGTATATCTTTACCTCACCAGAGCCACTTTAGTACAAAAACATAAAAAAAATAGTATTTAGCAAGCAAAGAATTGTGAAAATAATAATAGATTTTTTTTAAAATCGTGTTGGATTATAAATCCAAGAGCTCTGCAAGTTCAGTGCGTCCAATCCAATCTAAAGTTTTAAATACTGTTCCGACCTTGAAGTAGTCGTCATCAAGTTCTTATCCCCTATCCCGCTATTAAAACTGAGTGACGACAACGACATATACGAGTCTTCAAGAATCCTAGAAAAAAAAAAAAGGAAGAAAACATTATTTATAAATATCTAGCATTTTATATTTTACTAATGAGAACATAAAAATATGCAAATAAAAAAAACCTTATTGCCTTTTCAAACTACTGAGCTATTTTTAGAACGGCTTAAAGAAGACGCTGAAGAACGACGAGAAGAGAAAAAAGGTTGTTGCTTTTCTTTTACTAAAATAAACTTAAAAAATGCTATTAATTAGGACCACAAAGCGTTTTGTAAAGCTAATAATAAACATTAAAAGGTATTATCACTTTTAAAAGAAAACTCCTTATTGTCGAAAATTATTCGTTCACTAGCAAAAAAAGTTTGCACTAAAATCGAATAGGGTAGTTAACCAATTTCGCCCCGCCTACTGCCCAGCTTCAGTACACATTTTTAGATCTTTTGATAGTTTTTTGTCCTTTCTCACAAAAAATAATACCATTATGCCTATAAGTAATGGTAATTTTTGCTCTTAAAAGTTCCTGACTTTAGCATCCTGGTCACTGACAGGTCTCTGAACAAAACAGAGCAAAAGAAACTATAGAATACTGAAACAAATCTCCCTGTAGTCGCCGAGTAATTTTTGCCTCCAGCCTACCTGTTAGGTAGATTTAGCCCATGATATTGCTTGCAGTGTTCCGAGTATTAGTCTAATAATCAGCCGCTCACGACGATAAATTCCACTGTCTAAAAGAATTTATTTTCAAATTCTGTTTCAAAATAAGCAGCTAAGCAGTTTGATTAAAATCCTGATTATATCACTACTTTAGCTGTCGGCCGACGGCTGTTTCTCGTTGAGTGCTGCCAGAGGGTTAATATCGAATTTTAAAAACCGCTCTTGAGAAATTCAAGCATCGGTTTCACTTAAGGATATCCTCACCTATCTTGCTACAGAATCTAGTCACTATCAGGCTCTTTTTATCAATTATTACTAAGATATTTAAAGTTAAAATTTAATATTAATAGTAAACAAATTAAAAGCAAATAATGATTAGCATCAATATACTGTACTAAACTGCTCTCTTTCTCAGCAACTTTCCTCGGAAATTTTTTTTTTTACCAGAGTTGTGTCATGCCATTAGCTGCAAATCTAATTGTTGCAATAATCCGTACTTCTTTTCTAACTATTAATGAACGAAAAAAGTTCAAAAAAGGCAAAAATTACTGCAGTGAAGACTGGCTGAAAAGTATAAGGATTCAAATTTTATTGGTTTATATGATTTTCAGATATTCGAAATCTTAAAAAATTGGCTGCGCAAGGGTTTGATAAAACAGTAAGCAAAAATGTATTGCGCCAGTTTAACATCGTACCTTTACTTGTAACGGTTTTGCTCACGTTCAAATGCAAAAAAAAAATTTGATGATGTCGTAGTCCGCCATTTGCTTCTGACATCTTTTTCCAGTGCCACATAAAAGTGTTTTCATTAATTTACTGAAATATTTTAAACTAAGCATGACAATTCTTATCTTTAGATATGGGATTCACTGTCAGATTCTTCGCTATACAGCCCTAAAAATCTTTCTTAGAATGATTTCAGTACAAGAAAGTTAGATTCTTACAGTTGCTTTCAAAATCCCTTCGTTCTATCAAATCAGGTACAGTAAAGCAAAGGGTGCGTTTAACTTCGCTTCTTCAGTTTTGTACTGCAGTTGAATGCTGTAATCCGTCTTATGCCTAACCAGAGTTCAAATTAGCCGTTATAGAACTACTATGCCTTTGTCAGCAAGAAAAAAAAACGATTATATGCTTTAAGAGATAGATACTTAGTTAAGGCTCCAAGCTAGACTAACAGGCGAGCGGAAAATGACGAGTGAACTTAGATTTCTTCATACAACTCTTCTCAGCTTTTCGCTGTCAAGTACCCATACGCTGTTTTACGAGGCACCAATTCTTGGCCAAGTTCTCGAGTTGCCATGCAAATTACCGGGATTTGTCAGGAACATTCATTACCCTAAAGTAGCAAACTCACTCTTATCAAGTCATGAAATCATTCTTTGCAATGAATTAACTTACTATCTGCAGCTAAAAAACTAGGTAAACGATCTATATAGTCAGCTTCATTCCTATAACTTGCAAGTGGCAGTCGCAGCGAAAAATTATAGTCAAATTTTGCTGCTTAACTGGCTCCGCCGTCAAAATGTATAAGACATATGTAAATAAACGTTTTAATAAAATCATTTTCAAGTCAGTTTGAGAGGGAAAAAGGCAGTGATAACCATCCTTTAACAACGAATAAAAGGTGCCGTTTCCATAGAGGCCTTTAACATGATAAAAAGTGTTGAAGTTAATACGCTGAAGTTGCTTGCGAAGTGAACGAAGAATTAAGTAAACAAAAAGAGCATACTGCTTTGCTTGCCAACCATGACATCAGTAATTAACTTACAGATTATGCTATAAACTTTTGCAGAGGAGCGAAGAGAAGAACAAGGCGAGAGACGTTTCGAACGAAGGCGAGAAGATCCTAAGAACGACAAAGAAGACAGTAGCAGCGAAGAAAAGGATGAAAAGTCAGAGAAGGAACCAGAAAATACAACTATCATTACCTCACGCCCAGGTTCTCAGTCGGTGAAAAACTCAAATCCGAGTCGTCAAGCAACACATAACCGGGCGTTAAGGCTATTAATGTAGAATCTTGACAAAAGATTTTTCCTCTGCAAGGCTTTACTTAGTTGCGATGTCCGACGAAAACTCAGGCTTTATGACTTCTGTTTCAGCCCTTATTGCCTCTACGCATTGATGTTACGAATATAATTAAGAGAGATTTCAAATGCACAGTTTAACGCGATAATGGCAAACAAGTTTCCAATTTATCCTCCTTTTGAACGACACCGCAACAGGAAGTCCTAAAGATTTGGGGCTTCCCACAGAATATTATAAAAACCATAAAAAATTGTTTAAATCCGTCACACCATTCACTGTGAATACAGATTGTTTGAACGAATAAACTTCTGTCTTTTCAATACAGAAGCTGCTGCACTTTATGTTGCTTTTCTAATCAACCGCAGACTTTGTAAACAGTTCGAGGAGAAAAAATTCTTTTCTCCTTTACGTAAATAGAAATAAAAGTTGAAAACCTGTAATAAGTGTACAGTACTACTTTCAAATTTTAACGTAAGAAGTATCGACATTCTTTTTGCATTTACGACTTATCCGGAATACTCAATTTATGCTGTAAATGGTTTAGTTTTTAAACAACTATGGCTTTTAATGACTGATCGTCATAAACCATATGCGATCATTTTTGTGAGGAAATAAATAACTTGCTTTCAAACTCAGCTCACCTTAATTTATAATTGGAAACCTACGCTAATCTGCAACACGAAATCCATCCTCAAGCAAACAAAAAAGAGCTGTTTTTGTAGCATCCTTCTAAAGCTTACTCTTTTATGTGCATTTGCTGCTCTTTACTGCTTTCTTACAACACAAGAGTACGGTCCTAAGAGTAAAAAATATATATTTAGTTTATGACAAGTAATTACGAGCTTTTTGTTGAGTCCTAAAATCATTGATTAGACGCGAAAATTTTCAATTTTTGATGGATTAGACAGAGGCACACTTCATGAAAATTGAGCCGTCCAACTAAAGTTCTAGAGTCGGAATGAAACAAGTCTGGAAAATTCCGCTTAAAGTGCTGGTTCCGCAAGATCATCTTTTCCACAGGTTACATAAACCTAACATTTTTTTACATATCTGCCCTGTTTTTCCTTTTGCATACTTGATAGCCCTCACTTAGCATTAATCTTTCAACACCTTCAGAACACTGAACAAGACCGAATATTATCCAAGTTTCAATTTAAGTGGTGTTAGCTGGTGTTCTACCTCATTTTCCACCCCTCACCTCTCTCTAAAAAAAGAAAATAAATAAATAAAGAAAGAAAAGATTTATGTTTGAGAAGTCGGAAAGATTTAGTCCAGGATCGTGCCATAAAGCATAAAAACACGATAAAAACCTTCCAAAATTCCTCATAGAGACTGGCTGGAAATAGATCATTTTACACATTGTCTGTTTGCCTACCAGGCCTTTGTAAATTCTCTCTTTAAAACAGCAGAAAAAAAAAACTGGAAATTTTTTACTTACATAGTACGCACATTTACAGAACGGTAGACGAAAAAGAACATATAGGGATGGTAAAATAAAAATCCATCTCTCGGAGTTGCCAGTAAAGCTGTGGATGTGTAGGTAGTTTTAACGAGGGTTGACTTAAAAGGTTATTATTATTATTATTATTATTATTATTATTATTATTAATCAATGATATTATAATAACAGTAATACCAATAACTAATACCCTATTATTATTATTATTGTTCCTATTATTATCATTATACTACTATTATTATTATTTATTATTTATTATTATTATTATTTATTATTATTATTATTATTATTACATTATTACTATTATTATTTATTATTTATTATTATTCTTATTATTATTCGTATTATTATTGTTGTAATTATTATTATTATTATTGTTACTATTTTTATAATTATTACTATCACCGTTACTACTACTGTTATTACTACTATTGTTACTTTTATTATTATTAATCATTAATCAATAATTATTATTACTTATTCATTTATTTTTTTATCTATTTATTTATTTAATTAATTAATTGAATTAATTTATTTATTTTTGTAATATTTCTATGAATGGTTCACTGAAATAGGGAGTGGGGACAGAAGAGCAAGACGGAGGCGGAGGGTTCCTCCATCAGCTTAGGTGAGCGAGTCTAGAAGGGTACTGCCTAGTCCATGACGTTCCTATTTTTTATTCGCCATTCCGGAATATGTTGAGTGTTTCTGACGCGCTAGAAGATGAACATTTTTTTAATGGCTTTAGTCAATTCTTTTTCTATGCTTCTGCCACGGTTGCATTTTCGATAAATCCCTGCCACTAATTATTAAGTCCTTAAGTCTATTAGGTATTTCGAGTTTTTGCCGATTTGAACTAGGAACGATAGAGTTGGCAGTAGATTGCTTCTAAATTCGCCTGTCGCTTTTTTTGCGCATGTTGTATGTCTTCGTGCTACAATATTGACTAATTTTACAGGTGGTGTGGATTGAGCTACTTTTGCATTTCCGTCCTTCGCACATCAATGTTTTTTTTACTGCCTTTGCCATTTAGCCTTTTGCTGCTTTTTTTTCTTTTCAAAATTTTATTACTTAAATATCACTGTCCAGGCGTTCCGCTTATTTCTTTACTGTATCTTTCAGCAAACACCTGATTTTACTTTGTTTTACGTCTTTATTACTAATCCTTGCCTTTTACCAGCCGTGTTCATTCTTTATCGCGATGCCTGTTATCCTGCAACTTAAATCTGCTCACCTGTAAGTGTCAGTCACTCCTCGAGTGGTAGACCTCGCCTATTCACGTGATAATAGGTCATGATTCAGTTGCCTAAAAGTAGAGACGTAGCAGCCTTCAAAACAACAACTATTCCTCGCCAGTAACAAACCTAAAAGTGAATAGGCTGTAATGCCTTCTGTAGGATCGCAAAAACGCTCCGTTACGGCACCAAAATCTTGTTCCCACAGACGGTTATCGCTTGACTAGGATCAAGCGAGTGAGGAGAAATCCCTCAAATATTCAGCTGTTATGATGGTGCAGATGAATGTGTGAGTCCCGTCATGACGCTGTTAGGGTATTTTGCGCTCAGCGGCATGCTGCCGTTAATAAAGAGGCGAGAAAACCGCTGTTTAATACTACTTTTTTTCCTGTAACTGGCTACAGTCAATAATTTCCGCCAGTTTTCGATTGCTTTGTTGGACTCGTAGTGTCACTTCTAAGTCGCTTGCTCAACGGTTTCATTCTTCTTCTTTTTCTCCCTATCTTGTTGGTTTCTAATCCCGGTGAGCTGTTTGAGATTTGGTTAGTAAGGTGAAGATTTTTGCTCTTAAGAAAAAAAAAAAAATCGATGGCTGAATTAAACTCGGCACATCTTGGGCCATATTTGGAATTTCTGTTGATCGCAACAAAACAGATAAGATATTTTTGTTTCTCGTCTTTTTCTGTCCGAATAATATGTTGTTGACCTTAGATGAAATATAATGTGCTGCAGTTTTCTAACGCTTAAAATGCTCGAAGCTTTTGTGGTTGGATAAATGAACACGCTGGTTTAAGCGTAAGAGAATTGGAATCAATTCAATTAGACTGTGTCAGATTTTTCGAATTTTTCGTCCTTGTCCGGTGGTAATTGAATGAACGCCAGTCATCTGAGTGTAGCATCGGTGCAACGACAATTGAGGGAAGATTGGGACAATCGGGAATATTCACAAGTTGTTGCCGATAACATAAAAAATATTGCTGAATTTTTGAGCAGTTTTGGTAATTTTTAGGATTTTTTTTTTCAGTTTTTTTTCGTTGTTGCCTATGTCTGATAAGATTTGGTTTACGCTAGTGAGAGGACGACCAGAATTTACGTGTGATATATAACTTAGTTAATTAGGTAGAAGTAATTGTTCATTTCTTAGTATCTTTTGTTCTGACCTTTTACATGCATTACAGTTTTTCCTCGAATCGTTTTCTGCCTCAGCTTTACTCGGTTGCTCAGTTGGGGCCTGAAAGCTTCTACGGTCATATATCTTTTCTTTTTCGTTTAACTGCTGAGAAACACCTCTTAGATTTTTATTTTTGTTTTGCCTTTAGCGCAGTTTTGCTTTCATATTGATCGACATTCTGTAATAGAGCTGAAATTTTAACGGCATATAGTTGCTTAGAAGGTTCAATGGTTTTCCACTTGTTAAATATCCTTTCTGTTTATCTGATTCTGAAATGCAGATATGATTGCTAGGCACTGCTCCACACAATGTATCAAACTTGTTTGATTTTTATAAGTGAGGTTGTGTTTTTTACCTTAAGCTCTTCCTAGCAATGCCTGAGGTACATTCCGGTTCTAACTTAAGTGGCTTTAAAAAATTATTATTAAAAAATCTATGTAAACTTAGAAACTTTTAAAGAAGTTTTTATGACTTCCACATAAATACTCATTTTCAGAGCTTTCTTGTCGAAGCAGATTTGCTGAATTGAACGACAAGTTCACTTTGCTGGAGAGAAAAGTGGAGTTTTTAGAAGCTTGGGTTCGTTCTTTTGGCTTTCGGATATCGAGATATTTTTACTAGAAATCTTAGGAATACTATTTATTACAGTTTCAGTTCCTTCTTTTGATTACTCTTTTTGGGTTCTGAAATATTTCGTATTGAATATTCGTTGTTTAGCTATCTAAAGGGGAAACTTTGAATTAAATGGCTTCTAATATAGCGAAGGCAGTAGGTGGTGCAGCGGCAGTAGCGCAGGAAGTGGTTCCAGTGGTTTCGCTTTCTAAGGAACAGGCCAGAGCGTCTGTGCTTGCAGTGTACAAAAAATTGTAAGCGTTTTCTTTACGTTCCTCGTTGTTTTAGTAGAAGAGGGTTCATCGTTGCTGACTGTTTTCCAACAAAAAGGTTATAGTTGTTTTCACTCTGATGTTTAAAATTAAACTTCTCATAGTCAGATCACGAACTATATCGAAAACCCACTGTTCTTTTGTTCCATGGCAGTTTCAAAAATTTTTCAGTGGGGACCTTGAGTTGTGGACTATAGGTAAAATTAAAGGTTCCAGTAATAGTGAGTCTGGTGCAGTTCATTTGATTATTGGGAGGCTATGTGTTCAGCTGATTTGTGAGGATCGATACTCTGAATGGAATAAATTTCATTCTACTCAGACTTCTATTTTGTCCTTTTTTTCTGTTTTTGAATCTTCAGCTCAGAACTGAAGGCTTTTCTTGCGGTACAATTCTAGTTTTTGCACAATATTTCCCCTAGAGGATTTTGTCAAAAGTTTGTATTGCATCACAGATTTATATTTCATTTACTTAGTCTCAAAATTTGTTCATTCCTTCAACGGACAATATTTTGATCAGGAAGTGTCTGGATGTCAAATTATCAGTCCCGAAGTTGCCATTTCGGTGACACACACTAATAGGCTTTTTAGTTTAGGATATTAGAAGAGTAGGCTATGAAATGATTTTGTTGACATTGCATGACTAATATCTGTCATGAGATGCTGCAAAACACGCTTTGTGGATGAGTGCCTCAGTGAGCAAGCGTGTAGCATTTTTTTGCCTTTCTAGTTCACCTCGAGGTCATCGATTGTTTCAGGGTTATTTTTTTTTAATGTTTGGCTCGTTTGCCTCATTGAAAAACTTAGTAGCTTGTGGCCCAGCGTATTTAATTAATTAAGTTTATTTGAAGCTTCTTAAGTTAATTTTCTTGTCGTTCTGTCTGATGGGACTGGAATAGACATTTTTTGTCTCTTGAGGTTGTATTTTTTTGAGAAGTCGTATAGCAGAAACTAAAAACTTGCGAACTACTTCGTCTCTTGATTTAGAAATTGTCAATTTCGCTACTTCACTAGTTGGTCAGACTTTAAGTTCCTTCTCACTTTGGGTGAGGAGGTGTTGGATTTAAGTTTTAATCATTGTTTCTAATAATCGAATTCACTCTTTTTGGGATTAAGCATTGCATTGGTATTATTTATATTTTTTATAAAAAAAAAAAAAAAAGATTTTAATGGTTTCATGCATGAGGAGGTTAGTCTTCGTTTGTTCTTTGGATTTTTCCTCATTCGTTTCAGCGTTTTTAAAGTGTCTCCTGCGCTGTTTTGTTTTTATGTGTCTTTACACGCTCATTTTTTTGTCGATGGCCTGTTTTCTCTTTTACATTTAGTAGTGTTTTGGGTTACTTAGGCTCTTTAGTTCTCTTCACATTCATCAATCGTTATTCTCGTATTCTCGATGTTCTTTTAGTGAAGTCAAATTTTGCGGAAAATATACTGCTCTTTCGTGCCTGTTAATAAATAAATATAGCAAGTGAGTGTCTATTTGTAAATCCTTCTTACTTTTATAGTAAATTAATGTCTTTTTTTCATTAGTTGAGGCATTGCTACTTTGCTTTACGATTATTTTCTTAAAAGATTTAACAGACGTGGTGTAGAAAATTTGTTCCTTTTGTTGCTCCTCACTAACCAGGAGCGTTGAATAAAACTCAATAACTTTACAGTCACTTGTAGTTGAATTTTCTATCGCTTCTCCATCTTCACATTAGTCAATCAGAAGGAAATGGTTTTTTATAGAAGTATTTTGTAGGATGTTTGGCTTGTTGTTCTGTAATTTTGTGGCTATAGGGGGCTGAAAAACAGAGTTTAATCATTTGAAGGTAGTTTTGAAAGTTTTAAAATGATGCTCATGTTTGAAATATATAATGACTTTTGAAATGCACCAAGTGTTGTAGTGTATTTTTTTTTAACTCTTTTTGCCCATACTATTGGGCTTACATGGAACATTTTTCGGTTCTACTTTTCTGAATCATGCAAAATTATTGAAAATTTATTTTTTTGTGTTAATCTTGTGCAGAAGTTTATCAAGCTTGAAACCTAGTTCTTTTTTTCTTCCTCAACTTCCATCTGCAAATTAATTTGTTTTTCTAATTTATAGGCAACGTAAAGCGCCAACAACATGGTGGGATTACGGTTTACAAGACATGCCGCTTCCATATTTTCGTTTAGTGCTCAAAAAAGAATTTTTGAAAAATGCTCATTTAACAGATATACGAGTGATAGACAGAAAGGTTAACGAATGTGAACAGGTTAGCACCTAGTATATTTTATGTTTTCGCTAACTTTTTCTTGTTATAATTTGATGCTGCAAATCTTTTGGATCGAATCAGAATTTTTTTCAGCATTTATGTTCTCTGAAATACTATTTTTACAACGAGGAACACCTTCGCAATTATTTATTTCGCGAAGACGTGGATGAGAAACCTAAAGACTTCATGACGAAGTTTTTGCAGGGGAACGAATGATCTTTTAGAGATATGGTTTTCTGATTAGGCTACAAAAATGTTTGATGACATCAGTTGTAGAACATCTTCTTGAACTTTTATGAAGTGCAGTGAAGTCTATAGATGTCTTTTTTATATTTAGTAGCAAATGTGTGATGTATATTTCTTGTAACTTGTATGAACAGCAGTTATTAAAAGTTTATTCTTCCGTGTGCTTTTTCAGTTTTTTGTGTTTGTCATCAATCGATTATCGTTAACGGATTTGGCAAAAAAAACTTTAATACTCCATTTTAGGGACGTTATTTGCTGCTGACAATCAATAAATGCAGGTTTTGTAGTATAATGCACATTGCCAGGCGGAATATTGGTCATTGTGGTTCATGGATTTACAAGTGTGGCATACGGTGGCACTTTGGTAAAGGTTTGGCGTTGCGGGGTTTGGCTACTTATATAAAAAGTTCAGTAGATCCTCAGGAGATTGAGAGGTTTGGGGAGTTGTCTTCTGAGTGGTTGGATGAAAAATCATCATTTAAAGCCTTATATTCTTATAATAAGCTCCGAGTACCGTGGATTGTGGACGCCCTATCGTCTGAAGAGTTTGGTGAGGCGAGTTTTTATGAAGTTAAAGTTTTAGCAGTTTGGTGTAGGGAAAGTGCCAAACGGTCAGTTTGGTCGGCATTAATTTGAGTTTTTGGAGGTGGAAGCTTGTTGTAGGTTTGATTTTCTGAATGGTAGGTTTTAAACACGGTTGTTCCGTCGGGTTTAGTGCGGCTGTGTTTGACTAATGTTTGCGAGAATTTATTCTTTTTCAGTACCCATTGCGCGGGAAACGAATTCTTGATGTGGCATGTGGAGGTGGTATACTCGCAGTCCCGTTAGCCCGTCTTGGAGCATCTGTGTCGGCGATTGATGCATCTCAGGAAGTTATTTGTTGTGCTGAATATGCTGCAAGAAGGTACTCCAGAAACAGTCAAGACATAGGCTCTTTAGAAGTTGAATACGCGACTGTTGAAGACTACGCATCGAAATACCCAGGAAGTTCGGTTTGCTGAAGTTTGTATTTTGGATTTCTCACCAGGACTCCAATTCTTTTCCTTAATTTCTCACTATTGGTTGGCTATTCATTGTTTTTTAGGTTTTGATGCTGTAGTAGCATCAGAGGTTATTGAACACGTCAAAGACTTGGAAGGCTTTGTAAGATCATGTGCTGTTCTAGCACATCCTGGTTCACCTTTGTTCTTCACAACCCTAAACAAAACTGTTTTAAGCAGAGTTCTTGGAGTATTTATTGCAGAGGTGACTGCTTTGATTGTGATTGTGATTCGTATAAAACTCTTGATTCTTACTGAATTAATTTTTTTCTTTCTCAATTTGACTGCTCTATTTTCATACTCTTTTACGCCTTCCTTTATTTTCGTCTTACTTGTTATGAATTTTGATTAAGTTTGGGAATTATTACTTGGTTCACGGAAGATGGAGAACAGGTATTTTACGCGTTAGTTGAGATCTTTTGGCTGTTTATATTTATCGTTAAGAGATTGTTGGCTTTTTCAGGAAATATTGAAAATTACTTCATCTGGAGTTCATGATTGGTCCAAGTTTGTTACTCCTTGCACCTTACGTGCATTGTTAGAGGATAACAATTGTGAAGTCCGATTAGCACACGGAGTGAGGTACAATCCTTTTAAGAACGAATGGTTTTGGTCCTCAAGTTTCGCTATTAATTACGCTGTGATGGCAGTAAAATTATAACCTAATTGTTTATCAACTTTTCAATGAAATTAAGACACAGCTACGTAAATTTTTGCGCAGTTTTAGAATGTAGTTTATTTGTATATTATGAATATTTTAAAAGTATACACTCAGGTGCAAAAAAATGTATATTTCTGTCGCATTTATGATGTAAAGCCTTGTTTAATAAACCAGTTTTTCCTCGGCATTTGTTACTTGCGCAGATATATATCATGGTCATTTTGGGCCTTTTTTATTTCTGTTCGTAATCTAAATGATTTTTTTATAGACAGTTTTAATTACTCTGATTAACTGTTTTGCACGTGAATTTCTTTGATTTTGCGATGACATCTTGTAAATAATTTTTCTCATAATGAGATTTTACGTTTTTGTAGCTTAGTTGTGGAGCCATAATTGGTTTCTACAAATGCCTTAGTTTTGAATATGCCATGATGATTTGTTTTGGCAGTAGTTATTTTTTAATTGTTGATTTTGTACTACAGTCTGCTTTGTTGGGCGCAGGTATGGCTTAAAAAGTGGCGGTAACGTACGTAGAGGTTATTTTTTTACCTCTTTTCTTCTTACCAGTTGTGTTCGACCACAAACTAACATGTTGCGTATCTCGCTTTCCTGTGCTTCATTTTTTGAGCAAACTAAACTTTGTAATTTAGGGAACGCCGTTAAAGAGTTATTAACGATACAATGGATGAAGAATACGATGCTATTGTTTTGGGCACTGGCTTGAAGGTCAATTTTCAGTTTTTGGTCATTATTCTGTTTGGATACTGACACCCTTCTGCATGTAAAAAAGCTTTACTTTGTCTTCAGGAGTGCATTCTGTCTGGTATGTTATCTGTATCAGGCAAAAAGGTTTTACATATTGATAGGAACAATTATTACGGGGGTGAATCGGCGTCACTGACACCTTTAGAACAGTTATACGAAAAATTCCTTGGTTTGTTCTTGTTATGGACTCTTTGTAACTAAAGCACACATTCCTGCGGGCTTGAATTTTCCAAATTAATTTTACTTAAAGAGTTCGCTTTAGGCGCAAATGCAAAGCCGCCGACTGAAATGGGTCGCGGGCGGGATTGGAACGTGGATTTAATTCCGAAGTTCCTTATGGCGAATGGTTCTCTTGTAAAGGTCGCTTGTCAAAATTCTTTCACCAATCTTCTAAGGGTTTCATCATTTTAGCCTTGGAATTACTGAGTCTTAGTACTTTGGGTATATATGTAAGGGCTCATCTGCTCCTTCGCTATGTTTCTTCTTTCTTTGGAAGTATAAGGCTATTTTCCTCAAGCTGCTCTTCGGGATTGTTCTTTTG